AAGCCCGCTCCTGCAGCCCCCGGGTCCACTGCTGCGAGTGCTCCCGCCTGCTCTCCGGCCCCCGTTCCCCCCGGCTCTCCGGCCTCCGCCCCCCCCAGCTCCCTGCGCTCCTTATCCACCGCGCTCCGAGCCTCCAGCATCGACACCAGAGTGTTCTTATCTAGCATCGAGATGAGTCCTGTGCTGTGCCTCGTGCCCGATCTCGTACGGCTTGGCAGCCGCGGGTCTGTCATACCCTCGGCCTTTGTACCCGGGCGAAGCTGCCGCATGGCGTGAGCCGTGAGCGGGGGCATCGCGGGGTCCGGCGGCGGCGGCGGCTGGTCTGGATCGGGGGTCGCCGACGGTGACGGCGGAGAGGCAGAGGACGGATGGCCAGGAGCGGGGGTCGCCGACGGTGACGTCGAAGTGGCAGAGGGCGGCTGTGAAGTCGTGGTCGCGGGCGGCGGCGTGGTCGCTGGCGGCGGCGTTGCGGCAGGGGGCGAAGAGGACCTTGGCTTGGTAGTGTGAAGAAGGAGCAGGATCTGTACATTATGTTTGATATTTTTCGTGGTAAGATGATTTCATATTTTCAGGAGGAGGGTGTGCACGATGCGTTGGAACTGGAGGTTGAGGTCAAGGTCGGGAAGAGGGGGTGTGAATGTAGGAGACCTTCGGAGACTTTTTGGTAACGAAGTGTTAGACAAATCTTTCAAACTGTGGAATATCCTTATCAGCAAGGTTTTGTATCCCCCGATTCAGAGCTTGATTCTGGTGTGTGAGAGCCCTCAAAAAGGCCGGAAAATAGTGACAGAGTTCTATCAGGAGAGAAAGCAGTCAGAAAAATCGAGGTTCGATTTCTGAGCCTGGATTGACACGTAACGTGCCTGAGCGGGCAAAGCCCTGTTGTTCAGCGATGGCCTCAGCTGTCGCCTTGGCCGCTTGCGCCACGATGTGTGCGACGCTGCTGGGGTCGTTGAAGGTAGCTGTTATACCCTGGCTGGAGGGTGATGGCTGGCTGCCGGTAGGTGGGACCGGGTTCCCGGCAGGTGGTGGGGCGTAGGTGACTTCACCCTCGTTTATCCTGTTGGCTTCGAGTTCGGCTTGCACTCGTTGCTGGACGATCTACTCCAGTATTTGCTGTAGCTCTTCCCCGCTAAGGGCGGAGAGGTCGATGCCCTCCATG